CATTATGGAAATCAGTATGGAGGTACCTCAAAAATCTGAAAATGGAACTACCTTACGACCCAGCAATACCACTCTTAGGTATTTATNTATTAGTAGTCCTTTTAGCTGTGGATCATTTTAAATATCTGATAAGGATATTTTTCTATACCACCACACAGATTATTAATGTATAAAAGTTGAGCAGACCAAGAATTTATAAGAGGCTTCTACAGCGCATCTTGAAAACCCTCTGTCCAGGTTGACAATAACGGAGCTCAGTTTCATTGAGAGGCTGTAATTGACTCTCCGAGGCATCCATCTTCCTGTGTTATCTTCATGGCCATATTTCTAATCTTAGTCACAAGGATATAATTAGAAAATGTTGAAAAATGTCTTGCTGAAAGCAAGGCAAAACATTTGATGCATCTTCCTCATCTTCCTGTCTGGTAACCCAGTCAAAACAGGAGATGAGGTTGGTTGGTTTGACATGACTCCTCGTGTTACACCAAGCCATGAAGTTTCCTTGTCAGCATGATTTTAAAAATAAGATGCCAAATCTATTAATAAAACGTTTTATTCTCTTACATGGGAACATGACTGAGCTACCAAGCAAAAGGTTTTTGAAATTCACATTGTTTTTTTTTCTTAAACTAACAAAGAAATAAGAACTCCCACACTTAGTGAAGCTTTCAGACTCTAAACATTCTTCATGATTCCATAGAAGCTAAACTTGACAGTTTTGTTGCAAAGTCTCTCTGTTTCTCATATTATCGCTAGTCTGACTGACACTTGCTGAAAACAGAGAGTTCAAGCATTCAATTTCATAATTACTTTATCTTCTTAGCAGTTATCTTGGGTCAATATTTATTTTTATCCTTTCTTATTTGAGGAAACAATTGTGGTGGAAACAAAGAAGAATTGCAGTTTCACTTTTTCTTTTTACCCATTCACCAGTATAACACGTTTGTCACAAGAAGAGGACCCATCCTTTCTTTGTTCATTCTTCTCTGAACATGATTAAATAGCCATTTGTTGTCCTTACCATAATGTACAAACTTTCTGATTTTTTATTATGAGCTTTTTGGAAATATTTCTGTCAGCACTCTGGTTTTGTTGATGATATACACATTTCCCACTTAATTTACAGAGACATAAAAGTATACATAAATATGTACATATACATGTACATATATACATATCTATGCACATATTTTTATTAATACATTTCATAGGTTTTTATTTAAATTATTTTCCATGTCTTTGTAATAGTATGCTTTCTGCATATGGGAGGGTTTTGGTATATAAATTTGGGTGTATACATTTTATATAATTTTAATNTAAAAATACTTAGTTTAGGCTAAATTCTTTCTCCCAAGACAAACTTGATCATATATTTCCTTGCTTGTTGCAAGGGATTTTGAAAACTTATGTATTACACTTCTGCCTGCAAAACCAGAGGGTGAGTTTCTTAAAGTTCAGGAAAACTTTTCTAATACCAAGTTTTCTTTTCAAAGGAAACTAAACTAAAACAAAACAAGGCTACTTCCTTAACATTACACCTACCTAACTAGATCTACCTCACTCCCTGGAAAAATTAGGGATTTAATCTGTGAAACTGAATCTCAGGAATAACCAGAGAATATAAGGCATTTTTATTTTTCCCTACATCCTTTTGAAATGAAATATTTTGAGAATCTAGGGATATTAAAATGTAAATATAAGTAAAGTCAGATGAATAAAAGATAATGCTTACTTAAGACTTTTCTTATACCATATGTAAACACAGTTGCTTTTCTTTCATAAATCCAAAAGATCAATTTTATTGAAGTCTGAAAAATACATATGAAAACATTTTCCTTCTCCTACTTCTGTAACTCAAAATTTGAAGGAAAATATCCTAAACTACCCCAGAATAATTCATTTACATTTGTAAATCAAAGACTAAAGACAATTATTACAATTATCCCTGAAAATAAGAAATATATAAGCAAATTGTTTCTTTTAAAAGTTGGTCTCATTCAACTAGATTGAGTGAATTTAATTCATGGGTGGATTAAAGTGGGATTACTCTTCCAAGAGAAGAATTACTATGACTGTAAGACTAGAAATGTACATGACAGTCTGTTCTGCCTTGGGCTAAAGAGCTTATACTGAGTTCCAAATGATAAAGAACAAACCTCTTTTAAACATTTTATGAATAATGTTATCTTAAGATACAAGGTTTAATTATTGAAAAAAGGTTTAGATTGTTCGAAAAGTATTCCTCTCATAGCTGCTCACATTGTTTAAGGAAACTCAACTTTGAAAAAGAAAGAATGGTCATTAATTGCAAGTCATCTTTTTATGGTTGACTCTTAACATGAAGTAATTTGGGGCCTGGGATCACTGGGCTCCATGTTTAAATTATGTTCATGAAATTAGTGAACACAGGAAATAACTAGCTCATCAAACGTTCCATAAGGTTTGACTGTTCTTAGTTCATTTCAGTGAGCTGGGTGTCCCATTTGGTTAACTAGTCCTGTGTCTTGCAACCCACTGAAAGAAGGAGTTGATCCTAAAAGTCAACATACTTTTCATGTAAGAGGTAAAGAAGAAGAGTTAAAATTTTAAAATCTTACTTAAAATATTATAGTGTGGAAGATAAGATTCATACTTACAGTTAACCTCCAAATGCTTTATGTGTATCATGTACTTATCTTTATAGCCTTGCCCATGTGCCAGTATTCCTGGCTAGAGATCAGAACACAATTAATCTTTTTTGCCTATAATCATGTAAGTATAGGAGAAATTTCTACTGACAATTTACCTTCATCGCCACGTGGTTGCTGGGGAAACATGTAGTTAGTCAATACCCTTTGCTTTGTTTCTGGATGGGCTTCAGTTTGTAAAGGGATAAGGGCTTTGGACTGCAAGCAAAGAACATACCAATTAGATCAATAAGCTAGCAAATATAAACAATGCTTTTTTACATAAGATAATGGTCAATAGTCTGGATTCAATCAAGCTGAATAAAAAATTAAAAGAAAAGCAAGAAAAAAAGGTATTGAAATAAGAACATAGAACATAAAATACTATTGCTGGGTAATATTTTCAAATTCTAAGGTCTTCATAATGAGATTTTCTTTTTCTCTAGTACACTCTTTTACAACATTTTTCATCCTCGCTGAGCAATGTCACTTTTAATCCTGAAGAGACCAAAATGTGTTAAATTGTTTCAACTAAGTAAGCTTTTGGTATGATTCTATATGCCCATTCATTTTCATGAGCTGTTGCCCTCAAAAGACAAATGCAATTTACTATCAAATTTATGGTATGCACAATCCTCTATGAATTTAATTAGGTTAAAGCATATGCATTTATTTTTAAGAGCTATTTTGGTAACCAAAGACAGGGTCCACATACAGATAAGCAACTATACTTGTATCTGATACATCACAATATATTTACTTACGGATGGTAATATTTCATTCTCTACTAATTAATTTGATTTCAGAAATACTATTTCTGAAGGGATTTTTAGAACTCTGATATTATATACTATATGTGGAAATATATTGGAAATTATCATTTTCTCTAATGTTTTAAAAATTAGCTTATTTCATGACATTTATTAATAGGAGTGAAGCACAAAGGGAATTTGGGATACCAACTTGTCTCATGAAACTGAGTCAGAAACACATTAAATTACTGTTCTAAATAAAAGTTAAATGATGTAGTCACTGCTATATTCATTCTCCCACAAGAATAATAAATCATGATATTAGGGATTTTTTTTTCACAAGGCAAAACTGAAGAGATTGTTCCATTAGCATAATTCACAGTGATTCCATAAATGCTTCATTTATAATGATATACTGATGACTTGAAAAATCTATAGTTTATCGATAAGATTTGAATTTGAATGACAATCTAATTTTTTACTAGTAGATGGAAGCAAGTGCTGTAGTAACCACAGGAACACAAACATTATTCTTACACTTACAATTTACACTTTATAGTTTATTTTAATTTTTCACAGATGTAACTCAATACCTAGAAGTCGGAACCATTTACTAGTAATGCTGCATTTGCTCTTAGAAAACCATGAGGACAAACTGAATTCAACATGCTTTGTTTTCATTTGGCTATTTATATTTGGGGATAGGTGTTTCAAAATTTTAGGATTACAAGAAAAGAGTAAGAGAAGACTATAAACTATGTCAAAATTGTCTATCACCAGTTTTTCTGGTGGCAAATGAGATGTCTTCAACTGTTTCTTGTTATATTTCAGTTAATAAAATTATTCATTAACACTCAATTACTGTATTTATTCAATTGTAACCCATTTTCATGAGGAAAGGAATAATATCAAAACAATTTCACAGGAAATACTAATAATAGTTGCAAAGATAATCTGCAAATTTCTTGAACAGTTTCAGAATGAAGTTGATTATGATTGAAAGTATGAGAATAAAAGGGAACACGGAGGATAATAATTCTTGTGGGGATTGTGGTAAAGATTTCTTATTTTTTACCTTCAGAGGTATAATTAAAGTACATCCTCTAANTCTGAATTCAAATCTCATTTATTTTCAGAATCAAGTTTAGTTATTTAATCTCCCTCAGAATTGATATTTTTTTAAATAAAATGCGTGTATGTATGGGGACAATTTAGATTTTATCAATAACGTCATCAACATTCTGCTTGACTATTGGCATTCCCACACTTTCAATTAAATAAATAATCTTTAAAAAGAAAATAAAAATAAATAAAAATGAATCACCCAACTTAAAAACCATGCCCGATATCCCACCATTAGGCACCTCATATTGATGTCCCCTCCCCTCTGTCTCGATTCTCTCCCCACCCCATTGCCAATGTCAATAAACGAAACCTTAAATTGGGATCAAACACTGGCAATTGTGGGTTTCTATAGGACCAACATTTCTTACCCCAAATCATGCAGAACATACCCCATAAACCACTGTTCCAAGGTTGCCTCTACATGGGGGATTCTCCTACCCCAAACACCTAGGCCTACCTGTCTGCCACTTAGAGAGGGAAGAGTGGTGGATTGTGCTGCAACTGGCAATGGAGTACACATGCTCCTCTCCTGCTGGAGGCCACTTATACAACCCCATGCCAGCTGTGGGTCATTCTGGGGGACAGGCATATCTTGGATCTGCTGATCACACCTGGCCCATGGTGTGCAGCAATCGCCAGACAGTCTGGCAGGTTGGAGAGTAATCCCACGCTGGCCCCTTTCCCAGGGGGCTTGGCAGGAGTGATCCTGTGGGAGAAGGAATCTCCATTTTCTGGGAGAAAGAGGAGCACTGTAGCAATACTTTCACTTTATCATTTTTCTACTCTTGATTTTTTTTTTTCACTCTAGGTAATGCATTTAAAACAATCATCAGAACATTAGTTTTAACTCTATGTAATAAAACATTACCAATATCATAAGAAGCTAACATGTCACAATGTCTTCACACAATGCACTATTCATACTATACTGTACACATAGGGCATTATACTCTAGTCCATTTGGAAGTTGATGGTGTAGGTGACTGGTTCTTTTTTAAATTTTATGTAAATTAAAGGTAAAATGGTGCTAAATTTAACGTACATGTAAATGAACCAGAAAAGTGTGATTAATTTAGTTTAAGATGTCAGTATGTTCCACTCATCATATTTCCATGATGATTTATTTAGAAGTTTGTGTTCTAATTTGTCCAATAGCCAAGGACATTGGAAATATTCAAATTGTCAAAGCCAAGTAGTTTGAGATTTAGGAAACATGGTTTTACAACTATAAATAAACTAAATATAAACAAACATAGAGAAAAATGCCCTTAATACTGAACCTACTCTGATTATAAACAAACTTGATCACATAACACACAAACAGGGCTTCTAAATAATTGTTTGCATTTACTATATTTTATGTTTTCAGTGGTACATATACCAGAGTATATTAAATACACTCTTTGCCTCTTGGGTCCTTTAAATATAGATTTTTAGAATGAAGTATGTAGTTTTTGACATTCAATATTTTCATTGACATTCAAATTTTGACAATGAAATAAAAGAATGAATCCGAGGTCCAGTATAATATGCTTTAACCACTTGTTCTGGATTTACCTATAAAGTCCTCAAAAAAGAACTGAAATGTTCTAAAGTTCTTTATTTTTAGTTTAGCATTATTTTTTCTAGGAATTCACAACAAAATAAAATGTCTCTTTGGTTATTAGATAGCATTAACCGACCATCCAGAAACATTATTTTTTTAATTCAAATCTTTAACAGAATTTTCACTTTGATTTGGGAATCCATTTTTGGTTCTCCACAATGATATAGACAGGTCTTGTCAATTACCTTACTGTATAATTCTAGTAAGGTTCTAGAGTGTCTTGGTTTAAGACAAATATTTAGAAAATGTGGGAATGAGAGAACAGAAAAGAACACATCACACAATCTAGACCTACATATATATATATATATAAATATATATAAAACTACTTAGATAATTAGTCAGGAAGAGTGAGAGCTGTTAGTACCCATGATGGAAAAGTACACAAATAATACCATAAAAATTAATGAGAGCTTCAAGATGTTGCTCTAATGGTAACATGAAGATCTGATATTGATAAAATCTATATCAATTCTGATATTTTCAAATTGAAATAATGAAAAAATATAGATTTTAAAATCCAACCTTGTTACTTGACTTACATTAATTCCAATAAATTTTTAGAAGTATGCTTTGAGCTTAAAAAATTGAAGTTACTTTCCCCCTGGAACATCACCTGCTGTTAGGCAGTCACATCCTTTAAAACTTGTTCTTACACACATTTAAGAAAACTCATAAATTCTTCTCAAATATCCCAGGAACATAGACTCTTTAGAGATTTTTAATGCCAATATAATATATTAACCTGTTGGCTCTTCTATAAATGTGTATTTTGGCTTCATACAGTCTGCATGACGCCTTGCTCAGTGGTTAAAAGGAAACCATTTCAGTATTTCAAAGATGTAATAAGATACTTAGGGAAAGCCAATTACCCAGATTTCTTTGTTTGTTTGTTTGGCTTTCTCTCACCTTGAATCTCTATCATGTTATTCAGTAAGATGAGGCGGACTATCGAATGTGCTCAGTCAGAACGGCGACATTAGTCTTATTCTAAGCACATCAATGCCTCCAAAATTACCCTCTTGCTATAATGAAAAGTGCCACCATGAGACTTGATGTATCTGACCTTCTAGCAGAGGTCACTCAGTTTGTCCCAAAGTCTATCTGAATAACACTGAACAAGCAAAACTAATGAGAAAAAAGAAGAAATAAAAATTAAAAGGTTCACCTTAACTTTCCCAGCATTATCATCATCTTCCTTTTTTTCTTCAAATTCAAAGGCAACAGTCATACGTTGTTGTCTCTGCTCTTCCCACAGGGTAGGGTTAAAGCTGTCACTGTCTGACTGGAAATCTACAGTTAGATTCCAAAGTATTATTGCCTTTTTTAAACATAAAAGTGTTATTATAGAGCTTAGTATACTATGCAAAAAATGGTGATAGGTACTGCAAACAAATACAAAAATTGAAAAGAGGGAAAAATAAAGAGAAATAAAAGTAGGAAATAGAGAAAGGAAGAAAGAAAGAAGGAAAGAGGGAATAAAATTCCCTTGATATTTGTTACATGGTCTTTTAACATCATAAATTCAGCTTTCCTAAGTATACATTAATTACATACTGGGATTGGGAAGCTTTCCAGCATAGAGGATGAGCTCTTCATAGGATAGTAATAATAGAGAGAGCTGAACTAAGCATTTTAAAACATAATCCCTTTTAGTCTTCGCAACAGCACAATGGTAATACTAATATCACCCTCAATTTACTAATGANATATATATATAAAAATTTGCATTTTGGAGAGGGTAGAAGGAGCTCACAAGTCTGTGTACAGTGAGGTAAATTAAGTCCCTTTATGCATGGGTCTGGAAAGGAATGAATTCAGGCAGGTCCAGCCTGACCCTGACCAAAGTAACTCATTTCAGCTGGTTAGAACTAGAAGCAGTGAAACACACAATTCAGCTTTGAATAATATCTCTTCGGCAAGTGCAGCTTAAGTGGACAATTTTCCTTTTACATGGGCAAGTCACGTAACTTTCCTCTAAGCCTTAGTTTCTTTATTTGCATTGAAAATACTAATAATCCCTGTCTCATGTAGTTGCTCTGAGGATTTCATGAAATAGTGTAAGTAAAGAATTTAGGACAGTGCTCGCCATAAAATATATGCTCAGGAAATATTTTCCCTTTGTATTACTGAACCCTGATACATTTGTTTCTAAATCCTTTTTAGGCCCCACATGCAGAGGTCGTCATGCCGCTGGGTGCCAGGTGTGCATGGCTATGTGACGTGTGTGTGTGTGTGTGTGTGTGTGTGTGTGTGTGTGTGTGTGTGTGTGTTGGTGGGGGCAGGACTCAATGTATTTGGGAAACCCAGTAACAGTTTATTAGTTTTTTAAAAGCAAACAGTGTAGCACAGTTTCTTCTACACATAATGCACTTAAATTGATTAAAAGAGTTTTCAAGCAATGGTTCAGGGTTTTATATACATACTCAGCAATTGATTCTTAAAACTAGCACAGATTTTTTTTAAATAAAAATTTCAGATGTATGTTCAGAGGGAGGAGTCAAAGAATTAAACAATTAAAAATATAATTAAGGTTTATTATTTTTTACTTATTTTAAAAAAACATGTTTTGAGGTTAGTTTTTCTTTTCTTTCTTAATCATTTATTTTTTTGTTTTCATTTAAAGTTGACATTCAATATTGTTTTATATTAGCTTCAGGTGTACAGCATAGTGGTTAGACATTTATATAATTTATGCAGTGATCCCACTAATTAGTCTAGTACCCACCTGGCACTATCCATAGTTGTTGCAACATTACTGACTATATTATATATGCTATATTTTACATCCCTGTGACTATTGTATAACTACCAATTTGTATTTCTTAATCCCTTTATGTTTTTCACCCAGCTCCCCTACTCCTCTCCCCTCTGGCAACCATCAGTTTGTTCTCTGTATCTACGAATCTGTTTCTGTTTTCTTTGTTCATTTATTTTGTTTTTCAGATTACACATATAAGTGAGATCATATGGTATTTATCTTTCTTAATCTGACTTATCTCACGTAGTATAATACCCTCTAGGTCCGTCCATGTTGTCACAAATGGTAAGGCTTTATTTGTTTTTATTCCTTTGTATAAATGTACAACATCTTCTTTATCCAATTGTCTATTGATGGGCACTTGGAATGCTTCCACATCTTGGCTCTTGTAAATAGTGCTGTAGTGAACATAGGGGTGCATGTATCTTTCCAAATTAGTGTTTTGGATTTCTTCAGATAAATGCCCAGAAGTGGAATTGCTGTTGTCATGAGGCAAGTTAATTTTACCAAACATGCAAAGAAGCATTAACACCTATCCTTCTCAAAGTATTCTAAAAAATTCAAGAGGGAGGAAAGCTCCCAACTTCATTTTACGAGGCTACTACTACCCCAATTCCAAAACCAAGCAAAGACATTGGAAAAAAAAATGGTAGGCTGATATCCCTGATGAATATAGATGCAAAAATCCTCAACAAAATATTAGCAAACTGAATTCAGCAATACATTAAAAAGATCATACACCGTAATCAAGAAGGATTTGTTCCTGGGGTGCAAGGTTGGTTCGTATCCACAAATCAATTAATGTGACACATCCCATAAAGAAAATGAAAGATAAGAATCATATGATCATATCAGTATATGCAGAAAAAGTGTTTGACAGAATCCAGCATCCATTTGTGATAAAAACTCTAAGCAAAGTGGGATTTGAGGAAATATACTTCAACATAATAAAGGTCATATAAAACAAACCCATAGCTAACATCATACTCAATGGGGAAAAGCTAAAAGCATTCTTCTTAAGAAAAGGAGCCCATTTTCTCCATGTTTATTCAACATGGTATTGGAACTCCTAGCCACAGCAATCAGACAAGAAAAATAAATAAAAATCACCCAAATTAAAAAGAAAGAGGTTAGTTTTGGGTCACAGTAAGGCAGTCCTTACTTTTTATCATTGTGATATGCACCAATTTCAGCTCTCATGGTTTCATTAAATTAGTTCCTCAACAACATGACTTAAATTTTAGCTACTTCAGCACGCTAACTGTAACTGCATAAAGCACAAACTGCACTAACACTTCAGTACACAAATCACAATGTAAATAACAGATGCACATTATGATCAGTGACTAGTCATATTTCTCCTTTCAAAGTCTGTCAGTAACCAGTTACTGCTCATCCATTATTCAGCTCACACACAGATAATTAATCATGTAGTTGTGTTGCTTTCTTGTCAATCAGCAGTAGAGAGATGCTATAGGCACAATAATTTAACATTTAAAGCACTATTACTGTGTGGTCATGTTCTTGGTCATCCTAATTATCTTGGGGATTTAAATTAAAATGTGAAAATTTGCTTTTGATTAATAAGAACAATTTCATCAATCCCATCAATGGATCAAGGAGTGATTTCAACTTAGAAAGCCTATCCTTTTCCATAGAATTTTGAATATGCTATTGATGCTACAACTGGAGAACAAGCATTATCTTTAGCTGAGTTTTGGAAGAAATATGACCTAAAGCATGCAACTGAAAATTCAAGCGTCATGGAAGAAAGCAACAGAAAGTAAAGTGGGTGTAGTACAGTAGAAATGCTTAGCACACTGTGCAAATAACTTTGAAGGATTTGAATAAAACTTAAATGGAGTTATAGGAGAAATAGTTGACTGTTGAAATTTGCCTACCACTATTTAAGAGACTGTAGATAAGCTGACAGCAGCATTTAGTAAAGGCAGACTTCTTGACATAAATGAGGAATGTGGTTGTGATGAAAATGATGAAGATATCACAGAGGAAGTGACACTGGCAATACACTTCACATTAAAGGAAATCTCAGAGATATTTTGTGATATTGAAAGCACAAAGGATAAAAATTGGGAAGCTAATCTAAGTTTAATAAGGAGTATGACAATTCCATGACACATAGAAAAAAAGTTTACTCTGAATTATAATTTACATGATAAAAAGAAAGCAAGCATTGTTTAAACTAATCTTGATAGTTTTTTCTCACAAAATAATTAAAATATTGCAATTTTTGATGTTCCTAATATTTACAATGACAGAATACTAAATAAATATTGGTTTTACTATTTTTCCATTCCCTACACATTTATAACCAACAGTAAACATGCTTAATGTTTTGAAAAAATGTTTTAAAGGCCTTTTGTCAGACAATCATACTTTTCTTCATTGATTAATACTGTTTTGCACACTTTCAGCTTGTATGGTTGTTTTCACATTCTCCCACCACTGTACAAAGCAAGAACTTCCTGCATTAAAAAAACATTTTTACTGCACCATGGGTATACTGAATTAATAATTTATAGCCTGAAGGAATTTTACAACTCTGGGTTCCAGAGAAAAGACATTAAGTGCAAAACACACATCCTTGAATGATCTTTGAAATTCAAAAGATTCAAATTCATAATCTAACATTCCAACTAATGGCTATCTTGTTAGCAATCACCTAAGATATTTGAATATAGCATTTATATGAATACAGTTGTATCACATTCACTCAGGTTATCATTGGCATAGACCAACTAAGTGAAAACAACTCAGACAGAGAAAGACAAATACTATATGATCTCACTTATATGTGCAATCTAAACAAACAACCTGAGCAAACAGATACACGGAACAGATTGCTGGCTGTCAGAGGTGGAGTTTGGGGGGTAGGCAACTGGGTGAAGGTGGCCAAAAGGTACAAATTTCCAGTTATGAAAATTATTGTCATGTGGATGTAATGTACAGCATGGTAACTATAGTTCATCATACTGTATTACAGATTTGAAAGTAGCTAAGAGCATAAATCTTAAATGTTCTCATCACAAGAAAAAAAAAATGTGTAACTATGTGGTGCTGGGTGTTCATTAGACTTGCCATGGTGATCATTTTACAATATATACAAATATTGAATCATGTTGTACACCTGAAGCTAACATAGTATATGTCGGTTATAGCTCAATAAATAAAAAATACAATCATTATACTTCGTGCAAAACAAAAGACAGGCCTAAAGTTAAATTTTTTTGAAGCTTTATAGTTTATAATTGTCCACATCAAAAGTGAAAACAAGTTGCGAGGAAGAGTAAAGTACTTGAAAGCAATGCTCCCCAAACCTCAGTGTGCACGTGAGTCACCAGGAGAAGCTGCTACAGTGCAGATTCAGAGTCAGTGGTGTGGGTTGGGACTGCATTTATAACAAGCTCCTGGGTGATACGGGTGCTGCTGGTGTTATAAGGCTTTACGTAAACCCCTTGCAAACATTTCAGAGTAACATTTACACACACGCACACATACACATGCACACACATGCACACACAAGACAATGTCCATAACAGTTAAAATCCATATAATTATTAAGAGTTGTGTTCAGTAAGGCTTTGCCTTACTTCACATATCAGT